TTGTTATGTTATGCACAACAATTAAAAATAAATTTTTTTTTTTCAAATTACAATGATCGGTTTAAAAAGATTTTTATGGTAATTATGTACGGTAATTATGTAAGTAATCACGTAATCATCGAGTACTGTACGTGGAGAAAGTGCCAATTTCGGATGATTCTATGAAAAAAAAAACCACCGGTCATTTCATGATCATATCCGTAAATGGGATTGAAGGGTTAATGGGTCTATAATCCAATGAACTGGAATTTATGAGACTGTAAGATGAAATTCGAAATAAACAAACATTTAACTTTAAATAATTATTCCGTTGAATAACTTTAATAAGTTGTTACTCTTTACTATTTTTTAACAAAGAATATTGTTCATCGAGGCAAAATCAATTTTTCAAATCGGTCCATTTTGAATATCACTCTCATTCATGCAAAACATAAAAAATAAATCAAAAAAAGAAAAACGCGTATAACTTGAGAAATCAAATGTACATGCATCAAAAAGAAATTTTTAACGGTTTTATGTACCCCACAATTGGTAAAATCTCCGATTTTTTTTATATATAAGATCACAATTCCGTTAATACGCTTTTTATAGATGCATAAACTCATGAAAAGGCTAATAATAATAATCATCCCCTTGTTCATCCTTTCAAATGCACAAACAGATTAGTTTTCCCTTACATCGTCTTACACCATCTCATTTCCCCTCATTGAAACCAAATGTTGAATTATGCAACATGTTGGTTGTTATACGTTAAGGTTGAGAAAGTGTTTCATCATTATTATTACTATGATCCATACCATTTTGACTTATTTTTTTTTTTTACACTTCTTTTTTTTTGTCTCACATAAAATTCTTTAAAAACAAAAAAATAAATAAACAATCAAATGACGCAGTAGGTTGCACCCTTTTTTTTTATTTCCTCCAAAGAAGCAATTCAATTTTTTTTAATAAATCAAGAATTTTCTTTACTTTTTTTTTTTTTTAATCTAAAATTAAATTTTAAAAACATCTTACAAATCCTCAGATTATAGTTTAAAAAAAGTTTTATTAATTTTTTTGTTTTTTTTTGAAGTTATTTTTTTTTGCATGTTATATATATATAGTTTACAACGAAAAAAAAAATATAGTCTAATTTTTCCGCTTTTTGATCATAAAATAAAAAGATGTCAATTATCATCGTATAATGAATGAAAATTTTAGGGGAACCAAAAAAAAGCATAATTAAGGAAGTAGGAAAAAATCATAAAGAATTTATACGTGTCCAGAGTGTTATTTTTTTTTTTTATATGATTTAATATTTGACGTTTTAATAAAATACAAGTTTGAAAAAAGATGTTTCGAATTATTTAAAGGAAAAACGGAAAATTAATGTTTTTTTTTGTTTTTTTTTCTAAAAAAAAAAAAACTTGTATATTCTTATTATTGAAAAATTTCGGTTTAAACGATTAATAAAATAGGTAATAAAATATAAAAATCTTTCTCTCTAGTCCAACGAATTACAACATATACAAAAGAAATTGGATAAATGCAGAAATTATTATAAAATAACAATAAAATTAAATAAATTTAAAAAAAAAAAGCGTGGAAGAAAATTAGATAAATAAAAAAAAAAAAAAAATTGGAAAAAAAATTTTTGTTTGGCGTTTTTTTTTTTTTTAGTTTTAATAACGAGGTTGGTTACGTTAGAAAAGGTAAATTTGAATCGGAATTCTGTAGTGAAGGAAAAAAAAATTAAATACTAAAACTTTATGTTTCACACTTTTTTTTTTTCTTTTTTTTGTGGAAACTTTTGTTCAACATAAATTTTTTTTTTAATTTTTTTTTTTTTTTTTTTTCTTTTTTTTTTTTATTACTATGCAACTAAATAAAATGCAATTTTTGATTTCGGATTTCGGAAATGAATTATTTGGTGTGAATTTTTTGATGACGACGAAGATTACTAACGACGGAGAAATGACGACCGCAACCCTCAATCGGACATTTGAATGCTAAAGATAACCGGAAAAAGGAAAGGATTAAATGATTTATTTAGATCATTTATTTAAATTATTTCCGCGGTGTTTCAACAAATATAAACAAATAAACAACGGACAACTTACGTTTTTCCCCGGTGTGACTGTATGTGTGTGTTTGTAACGAACTTGGTCTGGTGAACCTCTTTTGACAGACATTACATTTGTACCTTTTTGGTGTGGATGAAACGGTCTTTGAACTAAAGGTTGTCATCATATCTTGTGGCGTAACAGGTCGTGGTCTTTGTGGATTTTGAAATTGAGGTGCATTCCTCGAATTTCCATTTGGATTTGCCAAACCTGCCATTGTGATTGGATAATCTTGTGGTGTGGCAAAATGAGGCATGCCATTACGATCGTAACTAACTGGGGGCTGTCCAAAATATCCCATCGGGGCGGCCGTATTATGACCTGAAGGCATTTTCATTGGATGATCAGTGAAAAAGGTGGGATCCAACGCTCTCTCATCATAACCTTTTGGTTTGTACGAATTAAATGGGAAAGGGTTTCCATTATTGTCTTGAGCGGCGGTCATGACCACAGAAGTTCTCCATGAATCAGCGGTACCATCCGACGAACCACCATCAACCGAAGGTGATAATTGATGTACAACTTTATGATTAGACAAAGGTTGATGATGAATACTAGGCACGAGTCCAGTGTTTAAACTTGTCCGACGATCCATGGTACTTGGTGGATAAGCCGAAGAAGAGTATCTAGTAAGAAAACAAAGATTTTGTTTATGTGAAAATGGTAAACTTTTTTTTAATTATTGTTTGAGAAATTAATTTAATAAATAAATTTTTAAAATTAGAAAATGTAACTTCAATGGGTTTTTCTTTAAAAAAAAAAAAAAAAAAAAAGAAAAGAAAAAAGAAAAGAAAAATCGTTTTACGAGATGATATTTTCTTAAAGATTGGTAAAAGAATACGTACGATGAAGTTGCAGGATAACCATCCGAGGTATTAATATGAGGTTTGTGATCACGCAAGTCGTTGGTGAACGAAGGTGAAGAGGTTAGGTGAGAATTATCAGGAATCATTCCGTGGTAAGTATTGTTATCGTTGTTGTTGTTGTTATGATGATGGTCAACGGTATCGTTAGAGTCCATATTAGGAGAGGGAAAAGTAGCGTCGCAATCCAAAGGAGGTGATGGATAGGCAGTCGTCGTATTATAAAGGTACGAAGGTTGTTGAATTTGTTGCTGCTGTTGAACGTAAGCAAACTGAGCCGCTGCGGCGGATACTGCGGCGTGTTGACGGGACGTCGAAGCAAGAAAGGGGGGAGTTATATTAGCGAAGGTATTCGATGTTATTGCTTCTACGACTTGATTATATTGCTGTTGTTGTTGGTATTTTTGTTGCTGAGTAAGTTGATTTTGAAAAGCGGAAATGTTATAAGGAGAATCGAAAGTTGACAAGTTGAAGTGAGTTGTGGGAAATGTCATAATGAGGGGAAAAAATAAAATGAAAATTTATTACTAAAGTAAGTAAAGTTTAGCCAAATAAAAAAAAAAAAAAAAAAAAAAATGATAAATAAAAGATGAAATTGTGAGCTCAAAATAATAATATTAATAATCGTCAAACAGTAAACAAAAAAAAAAAAAAGGAAATAAAAATAAAAGAGAAAAAAATAATAAAGGAACAAGAAAAAAAAATTTATTATTATTATTATTTTTTATTATTATTATTATTTGTTTATTAAAACAAATTTAAGTCACAAAGAAATCAACAAAGAACAAATTTTTTGGCAATTTGTCGTGCAAGGAAAACAAACGGTGCGAAGCGGGTTGTTTATATTTTCAAGTTTAAACAAAAAAAAAAAAAAAAAAAAAAAAAAAAAAAAAGGGAGATATCCAAAACTAAAATCAAATCTGCAAACAGAAGAATTGAAACAAGAAGGATAGCTTTTTTCCCATGTGCTCTTCAACCCAAAGTTAGGTAGATAATATTACCTTGGATGTTATATATTTTTTTTAAGCCCAAATCGTTGACATAACAAACTACAATCTCGGATTCAAGAGAGGAAAGACAAAGTAATAACTTGGGGTATTTATACATGACAATCAATCAGCTCCAGAAAAGGAAAGAAAAATATATATTCTACAATATAAAAAACGACATTTTGTAGTTAAAGTTTAATTAAGTTTTAAAAATATTGATATACTGTTTGATTTACTCTATTATGATGTGTAAATTTATATAGTCTCTGATAAAATAAGTGCAATAACTGACAAATCAGTTGATATTTAGAATACAGACTAGAATAGAAGTGACCCCGGGATGCCTAATATTTTGTCGGCAGTAACACTAAAATTATAGAAAGAAAAGAACGAGTTAGTGAAAAAAGCCGGTGTCACACTTTGATACAAGTGCTTAGGTTTCATGTTGTGTGTTGATTGTTATTATTTGTTATCTCACTCTATCTGGTGGCGGAAAAATTGTATATGCGCAAGGAAAATTTTTGTGTACTTGCTGCGGTGTCTCACACATAACGCGTAATAAAACCCACTCTCTTTTTTTTTTTTTTTTTTTTTTAATAATAACCATTTTGTCTAAATCAAAGGCGTGTTGTGTATTCGTACATTTATTGACGTAAATATTTGGTATACGTATTTGGTCTAGTCCATTGGACCGCTTTACCAAATGGGGAGATTTTGTCACTAACAGCATGGTACGATATTATATGATGCTTACATACGCACGGAACATCTTCACCTTATCAGTCTCTCTAATTCAAAGGCCGTTTATTTCCGTTCAACCAATTTTTGTTCATCCATATTTATCCTTTTTTTCAATTACACCGCATGGCATTAAAAGATCGAGGTAACGAACCTTCAGAACTTTCATAATAGTCACAGTTACAAACAATCTCCGAAAAAATATAACAAATTCCAAATGTATTTTTCCTTTTCGACTATTGTTCAATTCATTCATATAATATCAAAACTTAATGAATTTGCTTGAAGGCACAAGCATTGTAATTATTATAATATCTACCCGTTTTTGAACAATGTCCGGTAAACGTGTTATGATTTCGGTAAAATTCCATTATTCCTTAATTCTAACTCCGGTTTCTTGATTATAAAAAAATTGTACTTCTTATCATTTACCATATCAGTATACATTTAAATTTAAATTCTAAGCCACCTTTTCGGTTTCTTTTTTTTTTATTTTTTTTAATGTTTACTGCATAAATTGTTATATTACGCGTCATTTCGCCTCACAACATACCTCAATTCTGCACAATTTTGTGCGCTTTGTACTTTTCTTGGAAAAACTGAATCTAATTTTGGTTTAGTCGAATATTTACGGTAAACCTATCCATGTGAGCTCTTTAATTTCATACGGATTAAACCATGTGTTTCTTAACAATTTCATCCATCTACTTTATCCTCTGAAAAAAAAAAAAAAAAATTTTCGGTAAACTTCCTTTTAGTTAAAACAAGTACTTTTATATTATTGATGTAACCATTTGCTTTAATACTTATTAATTATTACCTTATCAATTTAACCATTATAGATTAAAATGAGCAAAATAAGACAGACCACACAAATTTTGCATTAAACATTATTGTACCTTATGCCGTGCATTCATTGATTCAATCTCAATCATCTGATAATACCGCATTTAACTCGCATATAAATTCAAATTCATGCATGTGTTTAATGTAAAAAAAAAAAATTTTTTCCACCCAATGATATTTGGTCATCATTTTCTATCAAACTAACAATCGATCTTTACGTTTTATATTCGCTAAAGTATTTGTTTATGTGTCTTGGTTCTAGAATCTGTTAGTTATTTTAAAAAAAAAATAACTGAAATTCGGGTATCCGGATACAATTTAAACTATTATTTTAGATAAAAAGATTTCGTATGATAAATTGGTGAAATCTTGTATAACGATGAGTATATTTAAACTAGTCAGCTTAAGTTAAACCTTTGTCGCAGATCGGATAATCGTTATATATTTTTGACATAGTTGATTTAAGGTTTTAACAGATTCTTCTTTTTTGAAAAAAAAAAAATCAGTTTATGGAAAAAAGTTTTTTTTTAACCCTATTATTATTAATTAAATTGATGTCTTACAATAGAAATTAATATTAAAAAAATTAATTAAATATTTATGTTTACCAATTTTATCCTTAAATTTTAATTTTAAAATAATCTTCTTTTTTCCGTCTCTTTGTCTATTTCTAAAAAAAGATAAATTATTGAAATCACTAGTATGAAATTCTTTTATATTTTTCATTTAAAATTATTTTTATGCATTAGTATTTTTTTTTTTTAATATTAACGTTTCAATAAAAAAATAAAATCTTTTAATAATCTTTATTGTTTTTAAAAATTTAATATGAATTCTAATAAAACCTTTGATATCTTTTATTAAGTAAAAGTGTGAATATACAGTATATAATTGATTATATATCATTAATCTTAACATAATATAAAGCGTTCTAGAATTTTTCTTCTAAAAGAAAATTTTGGCAGTAATTTCAAATTTAATATATTTCTTCTCTAATCCTAATTATTGTTTATTATATAATTTATTTTAATGTCTTTAGTTTTAGTATTTTAACTTTAATAATATGAAAATAAATATAATAATAATGTAATATTTCTTATTAATATAATTATTAATATTTATATTGCTTAAATTTAAAAATAAAATTATTATTTTTATATACTTTAAAGTATAATTTGTTTATAAAATTATCATTATATATATATAGAATTAATTTTTATTTATTTTATTTTTATATTTTATTTTTAAAAATATCATTATTTATAAATAAAAATGAAGACCTTATAAAGTTAATTAGATTTATCATATTAAGACATATCTAATAGTAGTTAGTATTTTAAATTAATAATTATTGATATAGCCGATTATGACTAAATAATATAATTATATTATTTAGTTATAATTGGCTTAGATTAGGTTATTTAGTAATAAAATAACTTAGATATAACAATTAAATAATTTAAATATAACTAAATAATCTAAATATGACAATTAAATAATTTAAATATAACTAAATAATCTAAAGTTAATAACCTAAAAATGATTAAATAATCCAATTAAATAACTTAAATATGATGATTTTTTATACCCTCTCATTTTCTATTATATTCCTTACCTTTAAAATCAATTTTTTTACTTTTTCCTATTTATTATTTGCGATCATATGATTAATAATCTAAATGTGACTATGACTAAATAATCTAAATGCGTCTATTTTTATTAAGTGCTATGCATTGATAAATGTCTTCTTTTATAATTTGTACTAGTGAAATTCTATGGTTGATTGATCACTGAGTTTTATGTTAGAGATACAAGTTGTCTATACCTGTTTGAATTTTAAGTACTATGTCAAAGTTTTTACACTTCTATGCTCCTTTAGTTACCTATTAAGGTATTAAGGGTGTTTTCCCTCTTTACCTATTTTGTTATCTGTAAAATACTAAATTGTAATAAAAAAATATTGCATCAGATAGTGCAGTAAATTCGTGATTAATTTTGGTCAATATTATACCATAATTTTAGCTGATCTTTAAAATATGTGAACTAGTGAGAAACTGATAAGAAACTAATATGCTTATATTAGTTCACCAGTTTCAGACTACTTGTATGCTAACTTGGATGCTAAATTTTTATATCCAAAGATTTAACCAAATTTATAGAATAGTACTGGTCGAATTTATTACGTCTACTGCATCAGTACGTGATTTTTGCTGACTTGCAGATTAGAGAATTTGAAATGCAAATATAAAAATATGTAGATTATTTTATTCTAATTTAATAGTCAGTATTAGAGATGTAATGTGCATTACTATGGCCAGCCTATTTGATTGTTAAAAAGTGCATTATCTTGTAACTAAAGGAACTATTGCCTGTTTGTTGCTAATATAATTATACTAATTTTACATCTGAGGTTAGAAATGCAATTTTTATTATCATAATTAGCCTATTTATTTACTAGAAGTACGCATTTTATAACTTAATTATTGCCTATTAGTTACTAGTATATGTATACTAAT